CTATAATCGTAAATAATACCACTTTTAGGGGTTTCAAGGTCTGGGAATGCTGATTCTGATCTTACTTCAAGTGATTTGAGGTCAAAGGTCACCCTCAAGGTGCCTTTGATAGCGGCCCGCCATCTATCGGAAATTTGTTACACTAGTTTGAAGTGTTGTTTTTTTGGGTTAGAAATGAACGTATGTATAAGACGTTTTGCTATGCACAAATGAATTTATCAGCAGAACACCAGACACCAGATGAGCCCTGTCGCTCTGCGGCACTTGTTTGTGGTGAGCTACAGTGTCATTGACACTTTCATTTATAGATGGTTTCAAGGTGTAACTGTCATTTAACAGAAACCCAAAAAATGTCCTTTATAGACAGGTGTCTGTCCTGCATAGGTGAGTTCTAACGCAGATCCTAATGTCTTCACAGAGCTTCTTCAATCGGGTTTGTTCAACACCGCCCGCAAATACAAAGCGAGTGAAATCCACTATATAAAAAAACAACCCCACCTGCCCACCAGGAGGCACTTAGCATGCCGCGCCGCTGTCGCCAGGCCATGCAAGGTATTTTCCCGTATCTACGGAGTAACGCGTGTGTTGCAGCTGTTTGGCAGGGTGGAGGGCGGGTCGGAGCTACACATCCACACGGGCGATGCGAATGGGTTGCCACGGCGACCTGAGAGACAGCAGTCGCACACGCTAGAGGCGGTGAAGCTCGCGGAACACGACCTGAAGGTGGCGCTGGAGGGCCTCGCTCGCAATCTCTTCGGCGACGGTAAGCTGGATGCGTGAGATCCTAAACTTCCGCCTCCTTCTGAACCAGGGAAATATCACCGTATTTGCTTGTGTGTTGGTAGCAGGTTGTTTTTGTGGGTACAAAAAAGTGTGACTTATATACACAAGTAAATGTAAAATAATTGTAACATCGGGGGGAGATGTAATATTATAGCGTTGACGTCTGACGTGCGTGATCGTCCCCGAGCAATCGTTCGCTGACCCACGCGCTACGCTCCTGCATTCAGACATCCAGCTTCGGTGGGTAGACACGTACTTCCCCTTCACACATCCGTCCTGGGAGCTGGAGATATACTGGAAGGACGACTGGATGGAGTGCCTAGGCTGTGGCATTATGGAACACAAGATACTGGAGTCGGGTGATTGTCGTACAATAGCCGCAGATCCGTCGCAGGTCGCCGGTCTTTCTCAGTGCGAAATTAGCATTTCCATGAGTTAGCATTCATGTGGTAGTAAGTGGTAGTGAAGCAACAGGCTGAGAGAAGGTTGATTGCCTCTGATTAACCAGCCACGTTTCCTCGTCCTCGTCATCGCGACCGCGGCATATTTTTCCGAGTTTGTTAGTTTTCGTAAGCTGTTGCATTAGCCGCCGATTCGACTGGAGCTTATCAATTAAATTATTCATTCATTAACGTTATTAATTTAATAATTATTGTTCATATTATTTTTGTATTATTTTCTTAATTAATTTTGTTTATTTATTTGTTTAAATTATTATTCGTCATTTGTATTTACACGTTCGTTCCTTGTGAATAGCTGTCGTTCGCGTGCGCTCACTTGGCTGGATAAGGTCGCTGGCATGCCTTCCACATACTGACACTTACGTTATGCTTTCTGACAGTTACGTTACATTGTTGTTGTCGTCTGCTTGCAGCCGGCGCAGGGAACAAGATCGGCTGGGCGTTCGGTCTCGGCTTGGACCGGCTTGCGATGCTGCTCTACGACATACCGGACATCCGTCTACTGTGGAGCGAGGACTCCGGCTTCCTCTCTCAGTTTGACTTCGACGACTCCTCCGCTCCTGTGAAATACCAGGTAGGGTGAAGATGGTGGGTGTGCACAGGTGAAATACCAGGTAGGGTGGAAGATGGTGGGTGCACGGGTGAAATACCAGGTAGGGTGGAAGATGGTGGGTGCGCACAGGTGAAATACCAGGTAGGGTGGAAGATGGTGGGTGCACGGGTGAAATACCAGGTAGGGTGGAAGATGGTGGGTGCACGGGTGAAATACCAGGTAGGGTGGAAGATGGTGGGTGTGCACAGGGAGGGTAAATGCCAGGTTAGGTGGAATTATGGTGGGTGTGCACGGGTGAAATACCAGGTAGGGTGGAAGATGGCAGGTGCGCGCAGCTGAAACACCAGGTAGGGTGGAATATCGCGGCCCCGCGCGCGGTGGACAGGTGTGAAAGTTTTACACCTGATTTATGATAGATGGCTGCATGGATTTCTCATATTCTTTCTTATAAACGGAGGTAAATTATTTTATAAATCTCTCACAAACAACAGATGTAAATTCTTAATGTAATGCATAACCGTAGATATTTGGACAATTGGATTAGATCCAAGTTGAACGGCTGAAGTATTACTGAAAGTAAATGTGTAATAGAGGTCATGGTCATATATGCAATGATGCACGGACGGATGGTGAGAACTATCATATGCTTTCGTGAACGTATACATACCTTCACTGTTCGTTTTCTACCCTCTCCTTGCAGCCAATAAGCATCTACCCACAGTGCACGTCAGACATGTCGTTCTGGACTCGGACGGCTATTCAGCTAATGACTCTACGACTGGTGAGAGCGTTGGAGGAGACATAGTCGAGCAGGTACATACGGATAAGTACTGCGTGGTTGTGATGGGTGCATGCGTGAGTGTGCGAGCGTGGGTGAGTGTCTGTGTGCACATGTGCTTATGTCGGTGTGTGTGCAGGTGTCTGTTTGTATAGTTGTGTGCTTTTGTGAGCTTGTATTTACTGCAAAATCTGCAGTTTGTCTGCATTAGTTTCTGTTTAACCTCCTGTCAGGTGGAATGTTGGGATGCTCTGAGAGTGTTATATATTACATTGTATAACACCTTGTATTATGTTATACTAGCTGGGCTACCCGGCGATGCCCGGGATAAAGAAGAAAAGAGCTAGAATTTAGTCAGCCATCACGGCTGTACATCCATCCCTCTCCTCCCTTTCCCTTTTCTCCCCTTCCCCTTCCCTTCCCCTTTTCTCTTTTTCCCTTATTTTTCCCTTATTACATACATTAATCTAACTACATAAATGGGGAATCTGTCCAAACTCGTTCGAAAATGTACCGGTCTTTCGCAGGGGGGGGGAGGGGGTTGATAAAATTTAATAGTTATATTATTATTAAATTACTAATACTGTAACGCTTTGTACCTATATACTGTATAGCAGTGTTTAACAGCAATTCATGCGTTCATCACGACAAACGAAAGATTGACGTATCAATGACTTGGTATTCTTGCGTTAACATGAACGTATACACACCTCTCGAGCGCTCGTAACTGACAAAGCGTACTCCCTGCAGGCTGGTTCACTGCTTTGCACCGAACCACCAAAGC